AAATGCTGAAAATTGTCTAGCAGCAGCTAGTGTTGAGTTGAGAGCCCTACTTGTAGAGCTTGGACACTGAAAATTAAGTACCAGAAGGCACATGGAAAGGGAATCAAATTTCTCCAGGGAAAACAAAACAGGGAGTAAATATTGTGTCTTTTCCGATTCAGTTCCAATGTGTTTATTATTTCCCTACCCATGGCAGGGGGGTTGGAACTCGATGACCTTAAGGTCTTTTCAAACCCAAACCATTCTACGATTCTGAGATTAAGAGTAAAGAGTACCTTTGACCTACAGGAGACAGGAATAGCCAGGCTTTGCAATGAAAGCTTATTAGGAGGAGAGCACTCAAAGATAGAGGTACAGCAATTAGCAACACTATTTAAGCATCAGTAAATCATCCTCCCACAAGTCATTCTGAGAAAAAGTATTTCACAAACTTCTTCCTACTGAGCACTTTCCTGAAAGGGTCCACTCTTGGACAACCCTGAGCAAGCAGACAGGTCCCCACACTGGAGAAAGAGCCCTGTGCTGGCATCCCAAGCAGTTACTTACCCCTTGTGGGAGAACTTCAGTGCTGTGTGGATGGGGTAGCCCAGTGTGCCCATGACACTGCAGCTGGCACGGCATTTCAGCAGGGACCGAACCATGTCCTCTTTGCCCAGCTGACAAGCAAGATGCAGAGCAGTCAGCCCTTCATGGCTCAGGTGGTCCAACCCAGTAGTTGGGGTTTTGCCCAAGAGCTGGGGAGAGGAGACAATAAATAAATAGACAGACAGACATGAAAGATACCATCTCTCTTCTTGAGCTCTCAAGGACAGACTCTGGAATGCTGGGTTCCTTGTGATGCTACAGTCGGTCCTCTCCACCCCTGCTTCCAACAGAGCAGCTATAGAAATGCTCCTTGTTCTCTCTTCCTAGAGGGTTTATTGCAGCTCTCCATGCCCTTCTCCTCTGGCCTGGGTGCTTCTAAGACACCCCTGAGGCGAAAAGGGCTCACACCACCTTGAATGATGCAGCCCAGCAGACTCCCACCACCTCCCACTGCGTGAGCCAAGTTCAGTCCAACAACATGAGAGTGCTGACTGAAATCAGTAGTTTCCTCCCCTGCTGCAGCCCCATCCGTTACGACAGCCACTTAGCAAGCAGGAGCTCAACCTCCCCTGCAACTCCACCACTGCTTTCAGACACAAACAGGATTCTGTTTAAAATAGCCATGTGGGAATATATTTGAAGGAATTTTCCTATTCTCCCCTGAATTTTATATCTGTTTCTCAAAAATATCCCACCGCCATTCTGGTGGAACCCTGCAAGCCCTGTGGCAGGAACCTAGTTTCTTTTCTTTGGTTTAGCAAGAAAGAAAAAAACTAACAGGAGACAGATCAGACCTAGAAGTATTTCGGTAACAAGCCAAGTTGCTGCCATCAGAGAAATAAAGGAAGAGGCCATCTTGTCAATACAAAGGTCTTAAGTACCCTGTTCCACAGCATGGCAAGCCCTGATCGTCATCCCTCCCCCATCATGAGTTAGGAAACCCCAGCACAGTCTGGCAGGCAGAGGGAGAGCTGTCACAACAGGTATTGGGCAAATGGCGGGTGCTGCCATAGGGGCAAGCCCATCTCACACTCCCACTAGGTGCTGGGGAGCTGACAGACCCAGAGAACAGACATGGAAAGCCACCCACATCTTATGAACCCTGTCACTCTGCCCAAGCTTCTCAGCAATTATGAACTCTCTGGCTTCAGACTGTCTCTGCCTCGAGGCTCTGATTGCTCTCCCTCATGCAAGGCCACTCAGTTCAGACAACAGGTTCTGCAGCTCAGGAGAGCCGCAGGCAGCTCCAAACTGTCCTTCAGTCTGTGAGCAACACATGCTTCCCCACAGGAGCTTAAACAAATGCTCCCCCTGCTTTGAGGAGATGGAGGAGGAAAGGCAAGGACCTGAAGAAAGGCAGGATCAAGGCCTGATGCAAAGAGCAGTGAAGGACACCTTCCAAGGGAACTTGTTTCTTTCCACTGCAGGGTAGAAGCTGGAGCATGCTTATGGGAAACAGCACCAGTAAAGGGAGGGGAAAAAAGAAGCTGAAATCACCCTCAAGCATTAACTCGCTGCAGCAAACAGAACTGACTTTCTCCTCCATTCTGCAGCTATTTTCCTGTCTCCCTCCTCACAGCATAGAGAGGACCCATTCTAGTCCCACTTAGTCCCTCCCAGCTTCTAAATCACTCGCACCTCGATGATGTGGGGGCTGTTCCCTCGCACAGCATAGTGGAACACAGTTTCCCCATGTATATCAGTGATGTCCACCCGTGCGTGGCACTCCAGCAGCTCCAGCAGGCACTCCATGTCTCCCTTGCGGCATGCCAAGTGCAGTGGGGTGCAGCCATCCTCGCTGTCTACGCTGTTCACACAACTGCAAGAGAGGAGTCAATGTGAGGCCAAGGAAGGGCTGCAAAGAAGAGGATGTGCAGCTGCCCTGGGAGCTGATACAAAGGTACCTCCCATGTCTGCGACAGGCCCAGCTGATGTGAGCCACAAGGTTCACAAAAGCCAGGCCTCCTGCTATGGAAGGAGCACAGCGAAGGGCGACCACAAAGCCCTGCCACAGACCCTGTGTGGACCTCTGTTCCTTCCTCTGCCCCCTACATGGGAGCAGCTCCCCCTGACCAAAAGAAGGCAGGGGACAGGTTACAGTCAGCAACCTGGTGCTGCTTCAGACTCCTAACTCCTCACTAGTCTCCTTTATCCTCAGTGAACTTTCCCATGGAAAGAGACCAAGGGCTTGTGGCCAAAACCCATACCCAGAAAGACAGTTATACTGTACCTCCTCTCTCACGGTTCACAGTCAGCCACCTTCCCCTCCAAAAACCAGTTCCACACGGGTTGCAAGATCTAATTAGTGTTTCTGGCCAAACACTTTGATCCTTTAGCTCAAACACCAGAGCGCTGGGCTTTAATGTCCATTGAAAACCCTCCAATAACCTTACACAGTGAGCCCTGGATCCCCTTTGCTGCCACATCTGTCACTCAGGCAAGACACAGCAAAACTGACACTTTTGAACTCAATCTCTGCAGTAGTCACAGGTATATCAAGTTTCTCCATGAAAGAGCTCCCAATGCTTTGGCACATCGAGCTGGGATACCCTGATCAGGCCCAGCCCACCATCCCAAGCTCATTCCCAGCACCAGGCCCACCGGAGGCCCCTCCTGCCCCTTGCCTCATGACATGGTTGTGCCGGAAGGTCTCACGATGGCCAATCTCCACCGCGATGTGTGCCGCAGACCAGGTGGGATGGTTGCGGATGCAGTCACTGAGCTGCTGGAGCTCCTCCAGCAACAGGGGCTGGCGCGAGGTCTCGTAGAAAGGGCGCAACAGCCTGGAGTACTGCTCAAAACGCACCAGGGCATCTGCTTCATTGTCGAGCTGGAAGAGCCTGGAGAAAAGGTAAACACAGCGTTTGTCCTGTTCAGAGAAACAACCTCCATGGCAAACAGCTCTTCTCCAAACAGCAGCGCTGCAGACTTTCCTCATTCCTCCTCGTGTGGTGTAACGCTTCTTCCAAGGAAAGAAGGGAGACTACTTCATTAGCAGAGAGCATCTATTCTTCCTGAGCTGCTTCCACAAGCTGTTCTGATGACAACTTCTGATGGCCTCCCCCTCCTCAGGAGCCCACCTGATGGGAGCCACCACCCCGCAGCCACAAGGCACCATGCTCCTGAGCTCATGTCTTTAGTAACGGTCCGTCACTTACCGGAAAGCGACCTGAGGACTCTGAGGATTCACCAGCAGGCAATCCCAGGAGCGAGAGAGATTGTTCCTGTACAGAGCCACCCTTCCTTCCTCCCTGAGGCAGGTGTGCGCCGCATACTCGGCAGCCGGCACTTCCTTCACCCGGTACGGGTTAGTGAATATCTGCGTGACGCTATTGATGGTATCCACCAGCCGGCCAAAGAACTGCATCGTTATGGAGCCTCAGGCGGCTTCCCGGCCGCGTCTTGAGGGAAACCCCGGACCTCCGGACCTCGCCTGAACGTAGCGACACACTGCCGGGGAACGCGAAACGAAAGCCGCCGGCGTGAGCGAACCCCAGCACCTTCTTTCCTCCGTCCCCCGGGTAAAGCACCCGCTCCCCCCTCAGCGCCCCACGGCCACCGCCCCCCTCTCTCAGGCGCGTTACTGCTCCGCCTCGGCGGGAAGGGCCCGGTTCCCGGCGCTGGGGTCGAACCCGCGACCTCGCAGCCGGGGGCAGCGCGGAGCCCCGGCGCCACGGCACCCGCAAAGCACGACGGGCCCCCAGCAGCGCCCGCTCTGCCGGCAGCCCGCCAATCGCCGCCCCGGCCCTCGGGACGGGCCAATCAGCGGCGCCGCGACCGGGGAGGTGCGATCGGGGCGGGGCAGCCTGTGCGTCGCACCCAGAGGAGGGCGGAAAGGCGGGAGACGCCATCTTGGTGTGGGGCAGAGGAGCTCTTCTTAAAGCGCCAGCGCTCCATCCCGCAGGGGTTGGGTGAGGGCGTTCGGCGGGCGGGAGCCATCCTTAAATATGGGGGAGAAACAGGAACTTTTGTGCGTGTCTGCGTGTGCCCCGCTGTGTCTGACCCACCGGCGGCGTGCGAGGCCCGGGTGTCACGCCCGGGAGCTTCAAGGAGCGGCGGCCGCTTTAAGAGCAGCGGGGCGGTGGGAGCGGAGGGGCGGGGCGTCGGTGACGTCACCGCATGACTGTGTTTTTATGAATGAAAAGAATCCGCGGGTGAGTAATCGCGGGGAGCGGGGTTGGAGGCGTCGCCCGACGGCACGACCCGGCAGCGGCCCCGTGGCACCAGCGCAGCCCCTCGGTAATTACGGGACGGGATCGGAGGGGAGAAACACCCCCAGGGTGCTCCCTCCGCGTCCGGCTTCACCCACCCCACTCCCCCCGCGCGGGGTCTGGCACCGGCTGGAGGCCGCTGCCCCGCCGCCCGCATCGGGACGGGGAGGGATGGGATGGGATGGGATGAGGGGTGTCCGTGCTCGGGATCATCCGCGCTTCCCTCCCGCCTTCTGGCCACCGCCCCGCAGAGAGCCAACGCGGCTCCCCCGGCTCCGACGGCGGCTCCTCGGCTCGGATTGCATCAGCTTCCAGCCCGCCCGGCTCCACCTTTCCCGCCGCCCCCCCCCCCCCCAGCCCCTCACCTCCCCGGCCCGGCCCCCATCGCCCCTCCGGGGGTCTGCTAGCGCGGAGGAGGCGCCCCTCGGCGGGGAGCGGCTACCGAGCTGCAGCCCGGGCTCCCGGCCCGCTCCCCGCTCTCCTAAACCCAGGGAGCGGAGGGACCGGCCGCCGGCGAGGGGACAAGCGCCGCTTCCTTGATTTTCCCCCTCCCGGGCTGCTGAATCACGGGGAGGCCGCGGTCCCCGCCTTGCGCCCCCCGAGCCCGTGGACACCCGGCGCTGGGATGGCGATTGGGAGCCGCAGTGCCCACGCCCGCGGAGCCCGCGGCAGGTGGGGGGAGGCACCTCGGCGCGGGTCCCGGCTGCGTGGCTTAGCCCCTGTTTTGCACCGTGGGGCTGCTGCTTTTACTTTCCTTTCAGCCCTGGGCGGATCTCACCCGGATTTCCTCCCCGAGAGGAAGCCTCAGGCGCTCCCTTTCCCCGGCAGCCGGCTGGGGCATTTCGGGTCCCCCGGTCAAAGCAGCATCCTGACCGCCTCGGGGTGGGATGAAGAGTCCAGCCTTCCCCCGTGACTGTTATGTTTTGCAGTCATTATTACTATCATCGTTGTTGTTAAGTACTGTTAAAGGAATAGGGATGAGTTCTGTGGCCGGCGGTGGGGACATGGGCAGGGGGCAGCAGGGCTGGTGCCCTCTGTGCCGAGGTGAGTGGCACAGGGCTGGCAGTAACCAGCTTTTCTCCTGATTGCTCTGCAGGGCCAGTGTGAGGCAAGGATGGCTGCCGATGGACTTGCCAGCAAGGCCCTAAAGGTGAGCGCTAGAGGAATGAGGGGTCTAGGGGTAACAGGGTTGGTTTTGGGGGTCTCAGGTGATGGCCCCTCTCTCTGGCAGGTGAAGCGGGAGCTGGGGGAGAACACGCCACTCCTGTCAGATGAGGAGCTGATGGGGCTGTCGGTGCGGGAGCTCAACCACCACCTGCGGGGCCTCTCCAAGGAGGAGGTGGCGAGGCTGAAGCAGCGCCGGCGGACGCTGAAGAACCGGGGTTACGCCGCCAGCTGCCGGGTGAAGCGTGTGTGCCAGAAGGAAGAGCTGCAGAAGCAGAAGATGGAGCTGGAGTGGGAGGTGGACAAGCTGGCTCGGGAGAATGCTGCCATGCGTCTGGAGCTCGACACCCTCCGCGGCAAGTACGAGGCCCTGCAGGGCTTTGCCCGCACTGTGGCTGCCCATGGCCCCCCTGCCAAGGTGGCCACCGCCAGCGTCATCACCATCGTCAAGTCTGGTGCCAACCAGGCCGCCTACTCCTAGTGCTGGCCTCCATTCCCCGGCCTGGCACAGTCTTCCCGGGGTGCCTTCCCCCACCAGTTGCCTCCCACCCCTTCCCCAACCTCCTCCCTGCCAGGACCTGTGCCTGAAATCCTCCTTCTCCCATCCCTTGACCTCCAGCTCCCCCACGCGGGGGGGGGGGGGGGGGCTGCTACAGTTTGGGTGCTAGGGTGGAGGACAGGACCCCATCAGTGAACCCCAAAGCCCTGCAGCCCTTTTCCCTCTGGGGGCACAGGTAGAAGAGTGTGAGCCTGTGCAGGCAGCAGTGGGGAAGCATCCCACGGCTCCAAGCTGGCAGGAAAACCCCAAGCGCCTCATTTCTTTGGGGAAGGCATGGGAGAGCCGAGCATGGGCCAGGCACTCCCAGGAGCATGTACCAGGATGGGAAAGGCAAGGAGGGAGCAAGGGATAGAAGGAATAGGATGGAGAAAGGATATCAGCATTAGCCCCAGAATTTGGACCCTGGCTGGAGCAGGGGTAGATGTAGCAGCATGGTTGAGAGTCTAAGGATGGAGGTGGTGAGGGAAGGTGACGTGTCAGAGTGTAAGAGAAAGTAGCTGCAGGTTGGTGGCTGGTAAGGGTAAGCAGGATGGGAAAGTGCTGTGGCAGCCTGCGGTGCTGCAGAGGTGATGGTGATGAAGGCAGGCAGGGGAAAGCTGGGGGATGTGAGTGGGAGAAGCAGTGGTACTGGTTTATCTTTCTCCATCATGCACATCCTTCACGCCTCTTCCTGCCTATGGGTTGCTCAGCCCAGCTGGGTGTCTCCAAAATGCAGCAGCACTGGCAGGAAGGAAGTGGAGGCAGCTGGAGCAGAGATAAACAGTTTTGCTCAGCACAGGCCAGCTTGCACTGCCCCACCAAGCACTCCCCAGTGCCCCACTGCCAACAAAGCCCATGCAAAGGTGCTCCTGACCCCTGAGAGCCAGAGCTGTGGAGGTGGAGGTACAGGAGGTAGGAAGCAGGCACAGAGAGCATCCGTGCTTCTGGGAGCTGCCTGGCAGGCAGGTAGGCTCCTGCCCTTGATTTTCCTCCAGCTTGGACACCCATGTGGGACAACCAGCTTCTTCCACAGGCTGAAATGCTGCGGAAGAGTTGTGTTTGCTAAATACAGGCAGCACGGGGAGGTAATGGGAGGCAGACCCTCAATGGCATCTGCTGCTGTAGATGATCCCCCCCTTTCTGCCCTTCTGCTCACGCCAGCCATCCTTGGTTGCAGCCTCCATCCCCTCCCCAGAGAGAGGTGCCCACCACTGGTGGAGGGGGCACTGTGGTTCGCACACCCCCACCCTGACTCCTCTTGGGTTTATTTATTGCACGAACATAAGTTATTTTCACGTCCTCTTTGCCATTCCGCCTCTCGGCACAGCCAGGATGTTGGTACAGAGCCGTACTTTATATTTTATATATACAAATCACATTTTATCTTATATAGAGAAAAAAATATACTTATTTATTTTCTGACTTACAGTATGTGTCCTACCTGACTCCTCTGTATTTTGTAGACTTTACAAATAAAGCAAGTTCTTTGTCGTTGGGTTTTTTTTCCACAGCAAGAGTGTGTTTGGTCATTCTGAAACTTGAGGACAGAGCTGTCTCTGTGAGAGTGGCTTTCTGGCTCCCTCTAGCTTTGCTGCAGGATGTGCTCAAGAACGTACCTGAAAGTAGATGGGGCTGGGGGGCAGCTTATGACTTTTTAGAGCAAACACAGATTATTAGAGTCACAGGCTGGTTTGTGTTGGGGAAGGGACCTTAAAGCTCACCCAGTTCCAACCCCCTGCCATGGGCAGGGACACCTTGCACTAGGCCAGGTTGCTCCAAGCCCTGTCCAGCCTGGCCTTGAACATTGCCAGGGATGGGGCAGCCACGGCTTCTCTGGGCACTGTGCCAGGGCCTCACCACCCTCGGAGGGAAGAATTTCTACCTTATATCTAATCTAAATCTCCCCGCTTTCAGTCTAAAGTCATTCCCCCTTTTCCTGTCACTATATGTGCTTGTAAAAAGCCCGTCTCCAGGTTTCTCATAGGCCCCCTTTAGGTATTGGAAGGCTGTTACAAGATCTCACACGAGCCTTTTCTTCTCAAAGTTTATAGGCTCTGGAAGGGCTCAGGCAGCCAGCTGATAATCATCCCCCAAAGCTTTTGCTTTCAGGAGCAGTTTGGCTGCAGTGAATCTTGTTTCCTAAGAAAGATAATGCTTTTCACTAGAAAAATTCCTTCCAGGCTGCCCTTGCACCTGCTGCAGGAGGAGAGACAGGTGACATCAGAGCAGCTCTCCCCAAAACCTCCCCTGCAGGGTGACCTCACCAGCAAGGAGGAAAGCAGAGAGCTCATGTCTGTGGGTGGCAGGAGAAGGGGAAGGAAGTGTGGTAGGTGCCTTACCCAGAGGTGAAGCTTGACATCCTCCCAAGGGGAAAACCTGCCTTTCCTTGGAACAGAAGTAGAAGTGATGAGCATGTTCCCTGATGCTGGGTCCCAGCCTGCCAGCATCTTGGAGTGCTCACACAGTGGTTCCAGGTTTTATGTTCATATTCCTTCTGCTACTGCAAACTGCCCCAGCCCGCCACTGCTCACAGAAATACAACACAGAGCTGCTGCTTGCTGGAACCTATGTCAGAGACAGCAGCCCTCTTTCTCCTAGAGGTGTTTCACACTGAGCATCCCAAGATCAGGATCCATCTGTGCTCCAGGGTTTTGACAAATATGTTTTGCTTCTGCCTTGGGCCGTCAGTGACATTTCAGCCCCAGGCTGGTATAAGGGCTGCTTCTCATTGCATGAAGGTTCCCTCCCTAAAACAAGACTAGAAGGACAAGACCCACTGAGCCTCAGCCCCTGCAATAAGCAAAAGCTCAAGCTCGCTTCAGAGAAGCCATCCAGACAGCACCACGCAGAGGCAGCTTAAGTACAATCTATATTATCTCTATATTTTTATTTGTCATCATATTTGCTCATTTCTGCAGAGTATAATGTCACAAAGACCAAAATAGAGAGAGCGGCTTGTCGCTGAGCTCACATCAGTTAAACACAATAGGTACAAAACTAGGTGACTCTGTCTTATTTATCATACTTTTTTTTTTTCAGTCATTTATATACAAAGAACTACTCTATATGGAAAAATAATAAACAAATCCCATGGCTATGTTACATGGTAAACAAAAAAGGAAGGAAGGAAGGAGAGGGGAAGCAGGTGAGGGAAAGCAGTTCCAAGGGCTTATTCCTGGAACCAACAGATTTGTTGGGGCCCTGGGCTACTGCAAGCAGACCTGAAAGACCATGGATGCCTTGGCCACCTTGGTCTCAAACTCCGGGTCTTCTACTTGCTCCTCCAAGTCAGAGCAGCATTGGAGCCAGTCCTTGCTCTGGCATGTGCCTGTGGTGAGGGAGAGCAGGAAGCTCAGAGATGATTTTGTGTGGTGTCAAAAAATACCTATGTATATAAAACTATAACACATGGCAGCTGACTGTTGTTTGGGCACTAGTTTTTCACCAGGTCTCTCCAAAGGCAACTAGTGCAAAAGGGTTCTACTTGAAACCACTACACACAAGAAGCTTTGAAAATACCCAGATCCTCTGCAGCATGTGTATGCAGCATACAGTTCAAAATCTCTAAAAATAATAGTAATAAAAAGCTCCCCCAAGCCTGGATCACCTTCAAACTCAAAGGGGCAACCCCAGAGAGTTCAGAACTCAGCCACCTGATGCAACAAAGACTGGGGACAATCACCAATGAAGTGACACTGGGACATCATCAAGGCCTGCAAATGCAAGGGGAGGGGAGGAAGGGATCGTGTCCCACGCCCCGCTTTCCTAAGAGAGACTCACCCTAAAGGACTGTTAATCAGAACCATGGAAGATATTAGGAAAGCCCATTCAATCTTCAGTCCTGCTTTCCAGGCGTGAGGAGAAGGAGTTTTACATCAAGCCCACATGGAGCTTGGCAGCCAGCATTTGTGTGCCCTTTTAACCAGTGACAGGTTTAGGAAACGCAGTAATAAACTGCATGGCATCACAGGAGGTGTGCACATGGGGAACTCTAGCAGCAGAGAAGCTGCTGGATCCACTGGTCCTGCTTCAACAGTCAGCACCGCTGCCCCCACCTGCTTCACCACCCTCCCAGACACGAGTAGAGAAGGAGACACTGCCCTGACATTGTCCTTAGGCCTTCCCCTATCCTATCCTCATGGCAGGGAGCAAACCTGCCTCTCTTCAAGCCTTTCTCCTCCTGCTCCTGACTGCAGGCTTCTGGCAGGGGTGCTGAGGAAATGAGGTGCTCTTTGCTCACAATTACTTCTGAGAAAGTGAATCAAGCACATAGATTAGGATACAAGAGGAAAGGTGAACTCCAGCTGGTAAACCCCCTGTTCTCCCAGCAGAGCAATGGGGGGCAATCTGGGAATGCACAGGTCTGCTGACAGCACGGTAGGCATCAAGCAGGAGAGGAACAGAGAAACTGCAGCCAAGAGCACAGAAGCTTGCTCCAACCCCTCCATTTGCTTCCTGCATGAGGGTACGGGGCATCTGATCCACAGTACTTGAGTGTGCTTCCCTGCTCCTACCCTAGACAATTTTAAGCGAGCAAGAGTCATTTCCTGGTCCCTGGATAGATCTACAGAGGGATCATTTTGTTTTTATTTGGCTCCACTAAATACCTAGGGGCCAAACCAAAAACCCAACAAAAGCAAGGGGAAGCTTCTTTTCCCACTCTCATGGATTCTGGGTCCATCCTTGGTAACAATGCAGTTGCGGAAGGGCCTGTGAAATGTGCAGGAGAAACTGCTGCTTGGAAAACTATGAGGGATAACTTGAACCAGAGAGATCATGTCAGGTTTCAAGTCTGCTCCAGTTTGGCCTGGAACAGCTATGGAGATAAAAAGCAAAGGAGTGTACAACATCCCTTCCAGCTTAAGGGCAAAACCTGTGCAGCTCAAAGGGGAAGTCAGTGATGACCAGTGCAGGGAGAGCTACTTGCAAGACCAGGACCTGCTTGGGCAGCTACCTGGTGCAACCCACACCTTTAAGAGGGGCAGCTATGTCAGTGGGGGACAGGAAACAAGAAGAAAAAGGGTTCTAGTGTTCACGTATCTTCCTTTCCCAAAGAAGGATGAAAGGACCAGAGCTCTACAGATTTCCACCAGCTATCACAGCCAATCCTCAGTCTTGTCAGTAGAAGACAGATGCTCCAGGGAGGCTTCTTGCCACCAGAATCATAGAATCAGAGAGGAATGCAGGTGAGATGGAAAGCTTAGACACCTGGCGATTAGAAAACCCTGCCATTGTGATACAGCAATTCCATCCCTGCTGAGCTTCAACATGTATCAGCTTTGACGGGGAGCAGGGGAGATGCAGGATGCAGAGGAACAGGACAAAAGTCTTTTTAATCCCCTGCTCACTCAAGTACAGGACTGCACAACCAGGTGAGTAGTGGGTGAGGGCAGATGTTCCTTTCTAAGCATTCAAGGCAATGACTACAGAGAGACCAGTGTCTGGTGTGGTCCTCAGGAATGCTTATCGCTGCATCCTGATCGCACTTCCCAAGGATCACAGAGGCGTTAGTACCAGGGAGCTGGGGGAGAAAACTGTGCCTACATCAACCATTCAGGAAGAGGAATACAGGTCAGGTTATCCAGCTGGAAAAAAACACAAAAACGTTTTTGGCCACAACTCCAGGCTCTGGCCAGTCACAGTCCACACCAAGCTGGGCAGGTGTGGGATGCCAGAGCCCTAAACCCTGGAGCTTTGCTTCAATGGATTCCAGTCAATTGCTGCTGTAAGGAACGGGCTCGAGAACAGAGTCTTGGCCATTCCCCCACCTCCGCACCACTCATCGTGTCCATGCCCACAAAAGCTAATGGGAAGTGCCCATTTCTGCAATCTGCACTCTCTAGGAAGTGATATGACTTGTTTCTGCTTCAATAAATTAAAAAGGAACCACCAAATCAACAGAAGAAAAATGACAGCCTGTGCCAGCAGCTTCCCCTACTAGAATTCATCGTCGGAGCTCAGCAAGAGGGTCTTCTCGTTGTCACGGGCACCCGAGCAGCTGTGGGAACGCGAGATAACGTGGCTACCATTGCGCCAGGGGGGACCATGCTCCAGCGTTGACTGCTGGGTGTACTGCTGGTAGGCTGGGGAGAAGTTGTGGATCGCATCTTGGACAATGTCGTGGGGGTTCATGGTCTCCTTGAGGCTGCTGGAGATGCTCTTCATGGGAGCACAGCGACCTGTTGGGGCAAGATGGGGAGGGACAAGTGAAGAATACTGCTGCCTTCCCCACACCCCATAACATAAAGGTGAGGAGAACAGGGAACATGCAATCCTACATCCTGGAGACTTCCAGACTTTTCAGACTTCCTTAAGCAGCTGCTGAGGAAATGCCACACAAACTGTCAGGTTTTACCAGTAGTGCTCCTAAATCCAGCCCCTTTTAGCCAAGTGAATCTGCCTCAGAACCACATGGGGGACATTCCATGAGAATGGGATATACCCACAGCAACAACCTCCACTGTGCACTACCTGTGCTGGCTTGGATGAAGACAGTCAGGTAGGGAGGTG